TACGCCGCCACTGGCGACTGTTGTAAGTTCATGGTGATGGTGCTGTTGTTGGAGACTTGTGTGTGTGTGTGTGTGTGTGTGCTGTGTTGTTGTGTGGGAGATTGTCTTGGCAAGGGGAAGTTGTGTGTGTTTACTTGAGTTGTGAAGCAAACAAGGATGTAGGATGAATGAACATGAACTGAGAGACACTCTCACACATAGACAGAAAACTGGAGGAGAGAGAGAAGTGCCACGTGGCAAAACAACCAGAAACGCCCGTTTCTGGGCGCACGTGCACAGAAACGTTTACAGCAGAATTTGCTGACTCAGCAAGCATTGACACTGGAACAGTGATGTCAACACTCCCCCGCAGTGGCGTGCTTGCTGGTGTCGAGTCCCTCCAGTGAAGAGCTGCTGTGTGCAGTACCCGTGAAGTCCTCCATCAGTGACCTGTGGTGACTTGCAGTGACATGCTCGATTCAAATGTTTGGCGGCACAAAATCGTTAATTGTGCATCGAATCGAAATAGAATAAAAATTCATCCGAATCAAAAAATTGTACAAAGGCAGAACCCACAAGTGTGCAAACTGAACCGAAAACCATATGCGTGAGAAAATTGCTCAAGTGGGCCAAGACAAAGAAACGTCGCAGAACAGTTGCTGTGTGTGCGAGTTCACCTCAACCGCAGATGAGCAATCCCAAGAAAAAAACCGCCGTTAAGCGGCCATCCTCAGTGGGGATGTCCTGGGCAGGTGATGGGTTAGTTCAGAAGCAAGTAGGCACTCGATGCGCATTGCATGCTGTGAACAACCTGCTTTCGGGCGTGGTTGCTTCGCCTGCCTCGTTTGAGAAAATCCGTCTGCGGTATTGTCGCCAGTACCGCCGGAACGGTTGGTCGCTCGCTGGCTTGGGCAAGCCGAAGAGAGCACCAGGGAATTGGTCACTCAACATCCCGCTGGAGTGGCTCAGTACCAACTCGTACACGGTGACAGCTGTGCGTGGGCGCCGACCTCGTCGTACCGTGTTCAAGCTTGGGCGACAGCGACAGATGTTGCTCCTTGTTGTGCATCCCCCTGAGAACTTAGACATGCGCCATGTGATATGCATTCGTGACAACATGATCTTAGACAGTTACCGTGGCGTTGCACCCCTTGATGATCTGCATTGGTCTGAGTGT